CCTGACCTCTTCCCTTGCTCCGTACCCCACCCAACCTCTGCCCCACCTCCTTCCATCTGCCCTCCCTCCGCCCGACTTCACCCCGCCGTCTTTCCCCTTCCTCCCGGCCTCCTTACACTTCCTCCTCTTCCTCTTCACGCTTTTTCCCATGCTGGTCTCCCCCTTACCTCTTCCCTTCCTCCTTACACTTCCTCCTCCTCCTCTTCACGCTTTTTCCCATGCTGGTCTCCCCCTAACCTCTTCCCTTCCTCCATACGTCACAACCTCTAAACTACCTTCTGCTTTCTGTCCTCCCTCCGCCCTACTTCTCCCTGCCGCCTCCCTTTTCTCCCGGCCTCCTCTGGACCTTCTCTTAAAACCTCCCTCTGCCCTCCCTTCGCCTGGCCACCTCACTCTCCTTCCTTCGCCCAATCTCCGCCTGACCTCCTTCCCTCTACCTCCTCCGTCCCACTCCTTCCTCCGCCCGATTTGCACTGACCTCCTCCCTCCCCCAATATCCTTCCTCCCGTTCCTTCCTTGGCCCGATCTCCACCTGACCTCCTGCTTCCGCCCTACTCTCTGCCACCTTTCCCCTGCCTACAGGCCTTCTCCGCACCTTCTCTTCAACCTCCCTCTGGCCTCCGTCCGCCTGGCCGCCTGATTCCCCTCGGTTCGCCCCCTTCGTTCGCCTGATCTCTGTCTGACCTCCTCCTTCCCCCGATCTCCTCCCTCCCGATCCTTACTCAGCCCGATCACCACCTGACCTCCTACTTCCATTCCTCCCTCCGTCCTACTCCCTACCTCCCCCTTCCTCGACCGGCCGCCCTTCCTTCGTAACGCCCGACCTAAGAAACACTTCTTTTCCTTTATCCGGTGGATGTAAACGCTCCATTTGTTATCAAGATCGCTCCATCTCGTTTAAGATCTCAACACCGTTGCACACGCGCAAGAAGGAGACAGGGAAAGCAGGAGAGAGAAAAACGCATTTCACCTAACACACTTCCTCCTCTCGCTCTTTCTTCCTCGCATCTTCTTTGTCCTTGTCTGTCTCTTCCACCACCACGTCTTCTGCCTCCTCAAGATCTTCCTCCTCAACATTCTCCCTCGGTCTTTTCTCTTTCGAGCGGCCATATGATTAACGGCCCTGCGTCAGATATTTCAGGCTACCGATATCTTTCCATATTTCACTCTCTTCGCCCCCTCTATCTCTTCGCCCCACAGCTCTCTCTCTCTCTCTCTCTCTCTCTCTCTCTCTCTCTCTCTCTCTCTCTCTCTCCCCTCCCCTCTCTCTCTCTCTCTCTCTCTCTCTCTCTCTCTCTCTCTCTCTCTCTCTCTCTCTCTCTCTCTCTCTCTCTCTCTGAACTCTCTCTGAACTCACACCAAACAAAAACGAACAAAAAAGAAAAAGGCACGCACGCACACACACACACGCACACACACGCACGATAGCGAGAACAAACCACCTTCGTTCATTGTCTGCAACCTAATGCAGACATAATGCCCAGTGATTAGCAAGCAGGTGAGCACAACGCAAGTGAGCACATCAGGAAGCACGAACGATCAGAGGGAAGAGTAGGAAGGGCAAGAAAGAGGGGAGGTAGGGGGCGAAGAAACTGA